GAGAGAGAGAGAGAGAGAGAGAGAGAGAGAGAGAGAGAGAGAGAGAGAGGAGGAAAGTAAGGGACACTGTGAGTATTTAAATATTGTATTGCTCCTGGGCTAGGGGTATAGCTCAGTGGTAGGATGCTTCCCTTGCATGCTTGAGATTCCTGGTTCCAAGTATCGTACCAGAGAAAATTGCTTTAGTTCTCTATGCTTTTGGTCTCTTCGTCCACATTTTACAAGACTGCTTTCCTTTCCTTTACTCTGACTGCAAGCTGTTAAGAGAGCAGGGTTAGGAAAGCAAAAGCAAGGATGTTAATTGTACATACAGGTCTGCTCTACAGGTGGGAATTCCAACACCAGAGGTAGCTGTTGTGTAAAGATCCATGCCTTATGCACCAAGAAAATAATAATACTATATGCTAAATAAGGGGCATGCAATGTGCTATAGGGACATCAAATAAGCTTCAGGAACAGGGAGTACATACATTTTTTTAAAGAAGGAGGACTTGATTTTTTGTTTGATAAAAAAGGCTCCAGAGATGAGAGAAAGAAGGGCCTCGAGGAGATTGCTAGATTCTAGTGCCCAAAGCAAAAGCAAAATCTGCTTATAAATGAACAAACTTGATCTTCATCAGCTTTGCTGATTTTACCTACAATTATTGTCATATACAGAATAAATTCTGAGTGTGATTTTTTTCATGGCTCTCCAATTGTCCAGACACCATTCAACAAGCAGCCCCTCTTCACCATAGCCATTTTAATTATCCTTAGGTATATATTTCCTTTAGTTATATTTACTTCTCCTGGTTTCCATATGTATTCCATCTATTTTTGGATTTTCTGTTTTAGTTTATCTTTCTCCTTTCAGAAGACATCTTGTGTGTGCTAATGTAAATTAGAAGTAGTTCTACCTTGATATGGTATTCTACAGTAGTTTGTGAACTCTTCTTACCTACCCAGGAGACAATGGGCTGCTTTTTTCATGTAAACTTTAGTATTAAATTGTTTAGCATAAGAAAAGTATTTTATCAGTATTTTTATTGGGATTTTTTTTCAGTTTGCACTCCTTCCCAAATAATCGGCTCTTGCCATGGTAAGTAGTAACTTCACCCGTGTACTTGTTGCCTCTTTACAACAAAAACATTTGTTGTGGTTTGAATACTAAGTGATTCCACAGACTCATATGTTGAAAGCTTGGTTTCTACCTCCTGGAAACTTTAGAAGGTAGGGCCTCTGTGGAAGAAATGGGCCGCTGGTGGTGCACCTTTTAAGGATAGCTTCTTTCTGGTCCCTCCTGTCTCTCTGCTGCCTGACCACCATAAGGTGAATAACCTCCGCCACATGTTCCTGTTACATGATATTCTGCCTAGCCTCAGACTCAAAGCAATGTATCTAACCAGCCATACACTGATACCTCCTAAACCATAAACAAAATTTAATCTCCTTCCTTCATACTGTTCCTTTCAAGTATTTGCCACAGCAACAGAGAATGTATGATTCATACATCACCACTACCATCTCAAGTGTATATTTATCCTTTCCACATAGGTAAAATTTTTTTCATTTCTTCATCAGTTCTTTGAGAATTGTGTACAATCTAGTCATATTCCCTACCTTCCCCACCTTTTCCAAGATCCACTTCCCCTTCCCTGCCCACTCAACTTTGTTTCCTCTCTATTTATTATTTTGTAGGAAGAGGGAGGGGCACATGCCAGTAGGTCAGAGGACAGTTGAACAAGTTAGTACTCTTTTTACATCATGTGAGTTCTGTGACTGGAGCTCAGGTCATCAAGCTTAGTGGCAAGTACCTTTACTCACTTAGCCATATCTGACATGTATATATTTTTTTAAAATAGCAGGCTAGAATGACATTTTAAATTTTCTTCACTCTGCATAGTGGTTCATAGCTATAGAAACAATACTCAGGAGGTGAGGAAGATTGTAAATTATACCTAGACTATGTAGTGAGTTCCAGGCTAGTCTGGTCCATATTAGTAAGAAACAGTCTGAGAAACAAAACAAAGCAACTTAGTTATCTTCTCTGTAATGGCTTCATAATTCCCTCAGTAAAAGCTAGAGAATTCAGAGTCACCTATAAAGTACAACTGTTTCTTTCACTGTCACTTCCCTACAGAAGAAATCTTCACCACATCTCCTATGACTCTACTCCTCATTGCTGTGTTGTGGTTTTCTGCTTCCTTACATCCCCTATCATGGGGGCATTGACACTTGTTCTTTTCTCTTCCAAATATATATATATTTATATATATATATATTATATCTGAGCTTGATGATTGCAGTCAGGTCATTGTGCAGCTTCATCACTTCCTCAATAAGGAAATATTCTATCTTTTGTGATCCCCGCCCCCCAGTATTTATCACCATCTGGCATTGAATTGTTGTATTTATTAGTTGTGTGCTTTCTTCCCAAAACTGTTATCCCTATGATAGCACTATTTCACATTTGTTTGGTTCTAGCTATGAAGTTCTGCCACATAATAGCAGCTATATAAATACTTGATAGAAGAAAGAAGTAATGGATTGTGATACTAGAAAATACATTTAGAACATAGGAAGAAGTGATTTAACTTTTGTTCATGAGTTAGATGAGAAATGTAGACATTAAAATGGATTTTTTTTATTATATTAGTTTGTTGCATTTTCTATGGTTTCAAAGTCTGTCATCCAAATTTCCTTGTATAAGACTATACCTTTATAATAGGATGTGTTGGAAGGCATTTAGGTCAAAGTGGTACTGTCTTCCTTTACCTGCTTCAATGCAACTGTTTCAGAATCATGTTTTGTTACATGCTAAGAAGGTTCTAGAGGGAAAAAAAAGATTAACTTTTGCAATTTGTTTTCTCCTACACATCTTATCTACTTATCTACTAAAATTTCATACTTAAAACAGATTTCATGACATTTTTATTACCCTAAAATGTAAACTAGGTAAATTTAGTAGATAGCATTCAATGGAACATTTATTTGTAACACTTTACCTAATTTAGCACACAAGTCTAATTATAGATTGGGAGAAAAGACATTATGCTTACTGGTCCTCACTTTCAGCACATAGGTGTATCAGATTTATTTAGCTGTTACCTGCTAAGTAACTACTATATAACAGACACAGGATACATAAAAATATGTATCATATTTGAAGTCTGGCAGAAGTGACTTCCACATGAAAGGTCATCTAAACATTTAATACATCTGGTTTGAGGTGGAGGGGCATTGTGGGTACCATGATATTCTGTCTTGCCTCAGACTCAAAGCAATGTATCCAACCAGCCATGCACTGATACCTCCTAAACCATAAACAAAACTTGAATTTCATGTTCTTATAAGGAAGACAATAGGGTTAAGAATATGCAAAGAGCCTATGATAGTGAACAATAAAAGACAAGAGCGAATACTTAGATGATACAGACATTATAAAATTAAAATTTCAATAATGGCCAAACCATGTACAGCCAGATAGGAAGCTAAAGGAACTTGGAGCTTGCCTGCCTCTACTTGCCCCTGACTCTTGACCTCTCTTTCAGAAATGTCAGTAGACATTAAAGTCACAGAGAAAAAATTGCCTTTCCAATAAAGCTTTATATTAAGTTAATGGCATCACAGAAAGTACTACATTTAACCAAAGGATTGTATTTGAACAGCATTCAGATGACTTGCATACAAAAAAAAAAACAAAAAAAAAAACAAACCAGGAAAGATTGCTTATGCAGCACAGTTGCTAGTCAGCTTGCCCAGCATGAGAAAAGCCCTAGTTCAGTTCCCATCATCTCATTAGCCAGGCATGATGTTATATGTCTGTAATCCTAGCACTTGGGAAGTGAAGACAAGTTCACTGTGGCTACTTGGTGGTTTCAAGTCCAGCCTGAGTTACAGAGACCTTATCTCAAGAAATTGGGAGAGGACCAAAGAAATGACTGAGGGAAATGGATGGGGTCAGTGGTTAATAGCACTTGTTAACCTTTGTGGGATTGGGTTCCTAGCTCATAATCATTTGCAATTCCAGTTCCATGCCATCTGACAGACACCCACTCGCCAGCACCAGGCATGTACACAGTATATATATATAAATTCATACACATTATATAAGTCTAAAAAAATAAAAAAAGGTATTGAAGTTTGGGCCTGGATAGCTAGCTCAGTGGTTAATAGCACTGGCTGTTTTTCCAAAGGATCTGGATTGATTTCCAGCAGTTCACATCTCATCTGTAACTTTAGTGCCAATAGACTGAATGATCTCTGTGGGTATTGCATGCATGTGGTACACAGACATACATGCTGGCAAAATATGCATACACATTAAATTAATTTTTTAAAAAATGAAAGAAAACAGGGAGGTATCCAGATGATTTACTAAAAAGTGCTATACTTTATTTGCAAATAACTTTAAAAAAACACTTTAGTGTGCATTTGTGTGTTGGCTCATGTATGCCAGGGTATATGCATGCTATGGCTCACTGCTCTTGTGGAAGTCAGAAGACAGTTTTCTCCTTTCATTTATATCCTGGTGATCATAAAGATTAATTTCAGTCACCTTCATCGCCTGAAATATCTATGTGGCTGCAGTAACTTAAAATACTTTAT